CCCCAAAACCCCAAAACCCCAAAACCCCAAAACCCCATTAATCAGATTGTAGCTTATTTATAGGGGTAATAATATTTTTAAATTCCAAATTCATAAATCAAATATGTTCCAACCAAAAAGAAAGAAAATCGATAATAACTCAAAACTAGCTCCTATTGATGAAGGACTCCTTAAATCAAAGAGTAAATTGATGGATGTGGATCATAAAAATAATGAATAAGATACAGAAAATTAGGGAGTACTAGCTCCACTCGCTTAGAAAAATCCTAGTAAATCAAAGAGAGTATTTGACATTCCAGCCATCGATCATAGCAAGCAAAGAGCAAAGCTAGAGGAGATAGTATAAAAGACTGAGAATACTCCTATGATAGGCAATCTGACAGCATCTAATTTCCCAGTTCCAAAACAATAATTATTCGGCAAAGTCCCTCAAACAATGACTTTCACAAATATGAAATAAGCTAAAAATGCTCTTGTATCTGCTGATGATCAGAAAAAGTTAGACTAAAAGCGAAAGAAGGTTATGTCTCATCAAGATACTAAGAATCAAGGCCATAATGGATCTTAATCTGAGGAAAGAACTACTGCTGATAACAGTTAATATGAATCTAAAAATGGGATTGAGAAGCCTAAGAAAACTCATGCTAGAGGTTCAAATAGTACAGTTAGACTAGCTCGAAAATAAAAGTCTGAAGGTAACCCCTCAATAATCAATAATAGTGAAAAGCCAACTACTGCTGGGTCAAACAAAGGTGAAAGCAGATGGTTGAAAGAACTTGCTAGACAAAATTATAAATATTTTGTAGAAAAACTTAATTAGCAAGAAGCTTAAAGAAGAATTAATATTATAAGAGCCGTGAAAAAATAACTGACGGACCGTTTCATGAAGGTTTTTAGACTTTTTAGAAATAAAAAATACGGTGAGCCAATTGACTCAATACCAAAGCCTCAGATTAATTCATATTTAAATGAGAACAATACATTTGATGAAGAGGATCTAAAAAAGATAAGGAAGGCAAAAAAAGGGGGTAAGGGGAGAGGATCGTAGTTAGATAAATAGGATTTGATCACAGTTATTGAGGAGCAAGAGGAGAGTGTTGTTGAAAGTGAGCAGGATCAAATAAAAACTAAGCCAGATTGTTAAGAGTTTATCTAGAATATGATAGAGGAAGGAATAGTCTATGAATTTGTATTGCTACTGTCTGATAACATTCTTAAAGTTAAATCCTTCTTATTGATGGTTATTCAGCGAAGAAGATACCTTAAAATGAAAGAAAAATCAGTCAAAGTTCAGGCATACCTAAGGAGATTTATTTCAAGGAGAAAGGTTAAGAGGGAGGTCCAGCAGATCAAGGACGACCTATACACAAAGTAGCTGCAGGATCATTTGAATAAACTGAAATCTTAAGAGGAGTTGATAAATTCTTCTGCTATAAAGATTCAATCGCTCTATCATAGACTAAAACTGAAAAAGGGTCTTAAAGATATGAGATAGAAGATGAAGACTCTACCTTACGTCTGTAGAAACAGCTATGTTAAGATGCAAATACTCAAAATAAATACCTTTATGCTAGCTACTGATACATCTAAACTTAGAAAATGAGGTAATTGTATTAAATCAAGTGAAAGAGAAAAGGAATAACGCAGGACTATATTTGTTTAATATATTTAATTGCAATCAATAATTATATACTTTGTGATTTACCAATATTTATTTCGAACCTTGGCCTTTGGGGTTTTGGGGTTTTGGGGTTTTGGGGTTTTGGGG